ATTATATATATATATATATATATATATATATATACTGTATGTATATAAATATACATGTGTGTCCTCTGATCAGAAACCAGGTCTTGAGTTCGGTGCGGCTCATTCTTACGTCAGTCTGGAGAAACTTGGTGAAGGAGCGTACGCCTCCGTCTACAAAGGAGTCAGCAGGTCAGTCTCTGTGTGTACTTATACACAAAACAAAGTACTCTGGTTTGTGTGTACTTATACGCAAAACAAAGTACTCTGGTTTGTATAAATTTAGAGGAATCATTTACTGCAGAGTTCTATATTTAAAGTAAAACTATTACCAGCTACTTGTACTCAAAGTATCACAGGTAAAAGTATTTTATCTTTAATGTAAAATATATAAAGTAACTAGTAATCATATCTGTGCAGTAAAAAGTACAACATTGTACTTGTTTGGTTTATGTTTTGAAGTTTTCTTCAGTCTCTTTAATCCAGTGAAAGTTTTTTTGAACATCCACGAGAGCTCAGATCATTCAGCGTACTTTTACTACTGAATACTACACCAGAAGTACTTGTACTACTGTACTTTCACTATATTGAGTGTAAACGTTGCTTGTTGAGGATCAACGGACAGCTGGTGGCTCTGAAGGAGATTCATATCAAGACGGAGGAAGGAGTCCCATTCACTGCTATCAGAGAGGGTAACACACACACTCACACACACACCTTCACTTCCAATCTTATTTTTTTATATATTGTATTAGTAAACTACTTATAGTGGTGTGTGTGTGTGTGTGTGTGTGTGTGTGTGTGTGTGTGTGTGTTTGTGTGTGCGCAGCGTCTCTCCTCAAAGGTCTGAAACACGCCAACATCGTCGTCCTCCATGACATCATCCACACCGGAGAGTCTCTGATGCTCGTCTTTGAATACGTGGTGAGAAATAATATAATATGATCTAGTGTTATTGAGTAATAAGCATCAAAGTGTAGTGATGTTTCTTCTTCTGGTGTTGCAGCAGACCGACCTGGCACAGTACTTGAGCCAACATCCTGGAGGACTTCACTCCCACAATGTTCGGGTAACAAACCAGTTTTTCATGTGTTGAAGCTGCATTCTCTCTGGTGTCTCTCTACTCCTCTGGTTGTATAGAAGTCTATGAGAAAATGACTCTACTTCTCTCTTGATTTATTACCTCAGTAAACATTGTAAACATGAGTTTATGGTCTCAATCTCTAGTTTCAAGTCTTCTTCAATACAGCATGATGTTCATTTCGTACATTATGGTCCATTTAGAGTCACACAGACCATAAAGCAGGGGATGCTTTAGGGCGGGGCTACACGGTGATTGACAGGTCTCTGTTTTAGTAACTGTACTCCTGTTTCTGGCAGTTTTTAAAGGTTTCTAAGGTGGTCCTCATGTTGTTGTTGTTGTTGTTGTTGTTGTAGCTCTTTATGTTCCAGTTGCTACGAGCTCTCTGCTTCATCCACAGCCGGAGGATCCTCCACCGAGACCTGAAGCCTCACAACCTGCTCATCAGCTACCTGGGAGAACTCAAGATGGCCGACTTTGGTTAGGACGACACTGTCACTTTAAGATGCATTAAAACGACACTGTCGCTTTAAGATGCGTTAAAACGACACTGTCGCTTTATGATGCATTAAAAACTTGATTCAGATTGAGTTATAGCTCATCTCTCCATTGGTACTGACTGGATCTGTTGGTTCTGGTTCAGGTCTGGCCCGGTCTAAGTCCGTCCCCTGTCAGACCTTCTCCTCTGATGTCGTGACGCTGTGGTACCGCCCCCCCGACATCCTGCTGGGATCCACAGATTACTCCACCGCTCTGGACATCTGGTCAGTCCAGTTTTTAAATAAAGTTTCCTGGTTTTGAATCAGGAGTTTTAAATAAAGTTGTGTGTTTGAATGTGTTCAAATAAAGTTGTTTGAATGTGTTTTAAATAAAGTTGTGTGTGTTTGAATGTGTTTTGAATAACGTGTTTGAATGTGTTTTGAATAAAGTTGTGTTTGAATGTGTTTTGAATCAAGTTGTGTGTTTGAATGTGTTTGAATCAAGTTGTGTTTGAATATGTTTGAATAAAGTTGTTTGTTTGAATGTGTTTAAATAAAGTTGTGTGTGTTTGAATGTGTTTTAAATAAAGTTGTGTGTTTGAATGTGTTTAAATAAAGTAGTGTGTGTTTGAATGTGT